AAGACATCTGAGGACCTCCTCTGGCACTGCAACCTCCTCCTCAGCCTTCTCTTCCTCTGCTGTTTCCACGCATTTCTCACTTTGGCCAAAAGTCCTAATTATTGTGTGGAACATGTCACTCTTTCATGCTAGGGCAGGCTTCTTCATGATATCGCTTCTCTGGCATCACAGCCTCTTCAGCTATCTGCCCACCCCCAAGCCGTCTCAAATCTTCCACATAGTTCTGTGCTCCACACACCCCCTGCTGAGGTTTGACCTTGTTTCAACCCAAATTATGGGCCTCCCAGGGTCTGCTCTGCCTAGCACAAAATGCCTCAGTGCATTTTCTCTCCTGAGCTGTAGTCAGTCTATCCTTTCTTGAGGCCTTAACACACTTCTCTGTGGAGAGGCAGAGTCACAAAAGATCACCTTGCAGTTCTCATTCCTGTCTCTTCTTTGTGAGGTGGGTAAACTTGAGCACAGTGATAGAAGGTGGGGAGAGTAGGCACCAGGTATCTTAGGTTAGGCCTCTGGCTGCAGCTGGCTTGCCCAGTTTTTACTGCTTTTCTGGGGAGTATAGGGAAGATTGGAGAATGTGGTGGTATGTGCATAGCACAAGCTTGGTATTGCAGAATGTCTCAGGAGCAGGCAAAATAGGCTGCCCTGGGTTTTGTGCCAGTACCCTCCAACTTAGCTTGGGAATAAAGGATTTTGGAGACATTTAGAGTCACAAGTAACATTTTACACCATAAGATATCAGTAAATATCTTATTTACTTATTGATAAATGTGGCAAAGCAGATGAAGACCTAACAGACATAGAGAGGATCATGCCACTTTTGTTAGTTTTAGCAGACAGGGAGAATGAAATGCGGTCCTTGGTCAGGCCCTAGAACTTACAAATGTCATTTCCTGGTCTCTGAAGGCTGCTACAAGGAAAAGAATTCCAGAAAGAAGACAGGTTCACTGGCTTTTCTCTTTTTCTATCTGGATTAAGGTAGCTTTGTGGCTCGTATGATACAGTGCAAAATTATTTTTCACCCTGAGCTCTCTGATGATATCCCAAACATTTCTAGCATTCAAAATCAGAAGGTTTTCATACTTATTACCATGCCTGGAATCTGAGAAATCTATGCCTTCAACTCAAATTTACTCTGTGCCTCAGAAGCCAGTAGAGACTTAATTTCTCTACTGAAAACCTTTTCCTGTAGTGCCCAAGGCATTTGACTGCTAACCAGAAAGGTGGCTTTTCAAACCCACCAGCCACTCCTCAGAAGGAAAGTTGGGCAATCTACTTCCATAGGGATACCACCTCAGAAACCCAAGGAGGGGTGGCTATGAGTCAGATAACAACTCCATGGCAGTGAGTTTGACTTTTTTTTTTTGTTTTTCAGTAGCCCTGTTATTTTTATTGTAGTCTCTCAGACAATAAATTTATGTGAACCTTCATATAAAGAGTTATCTTTTCAATACATCATAAAATAACTTTACACTAAAATAGTAGAGGAAATTTTAATTTACTTTGGTCTTTTGAATAACTTTTGATTTACTTTTTTTTAAGTTGTCACAAATCTATATTTTTCTTTTGTCTATTTACATATAAACCTTTCCTAAGTATTTTTTTTCTTAGGGAAAGGTGGAATAAATCTTCCACTTGAAGTATATAGAGGATGCAAGGAACAGACTAGACTTGAGTATTCATTTCAAAAATGTTCTTAATACCCTGATTGTCTTTGCTTTACCTGATTGTGCTAGAGTACAACAGTCTGAGACAGTATCTCAAAGCATCCTTCTAAGAACACACAGGAAGAAAAATGGCTAACTCTTTCCCAGTGATCTGCTTGCTTTTATTCTTCATCCTGATGCATTATGTGGCACTTTCTGGTAAGTAATTTGGCTGGTCCTGGTTGACATGTGAGGTTGATTTGTGGGCTCTGACCTTTTAATGCAAAAGAACCATCAAATAAAAAATTATTTAAATGAATGATTTTACCATATCTATAGATCTATATCTAAATAGAGATAGACAAAAAGTTAGACACCAAATAGTTTTTCCAATCAATACGGACCTTAATTTCCTGATCTATTACATGCAGAGAAAGGAACAGATTTGGATGAATCATTGAGGTAGCATGTGAAAGTAACTGCAATGTGCCTAAACCAGAGCATGTTTCAATAACTCAGAACCTTTGAAAATGTGTCCCCATCTATTTGAATTGATCCTTATACTCTGTGCCCTATCGTAGAGAAGTTATGTACCTTGTTATAAAGAAACTTAACCTCAAGGACTAAGGAATTAGTTTGCGTATTTACCATGAATTCCTGGATCTAGTCAGACTCTATCTCCTTTTTGGAATATCAGATGAGGCTAAAAGATTATTTTTAGTTCTAGCATTTCTTGATTTCTTTCCTATGTTGAATCCTGTTAATCCCAGGGTAATAATAATAATAATAATAATAATAACTATAGGGAATTATTTGGTACACTGGACTGGCAACACTTATTACAGTAATGATGCATCTAGTTAATCTTTTGCCATACCTACCAACAGTAGGAGAGATGTTCCATATTTTCAATAAGAAAGCATCAATGTATATAGAAATTAAATCATATTTTTAATTATTGTAAGCTTCCCTGGTAACAAATCAAAGCACTTATTTTACTAATAGATGTAAGCTTACTTTACCAGAAATTCAACTTTCTAACTATTTTAACTTATGCTATGGTTTTAGGACATCAAGAATGGTGGCCACCATGTGGACCTTTTAAGGTTCTCTCCCACTATATTTCCCAGGATCAAAATTCTAACCTGAGTTTTCCTTGGAAGTGCTATTTTAGAATCTCATTGCAGGAAGGACATCCATAATATTTATCAAGGCCCATGACATGAAGTGATAGATAAACTGCAGTCACAGGAGCCCAGAACAAACTGGGAACCAAAGCTAGATGAGTCATGTGTACACCAGAGAAACCTAATAGTGCCCAGAAAACTTTCATGGGCAATAATAATTGCCAGGTGCATGGCAGGTTCCTAAGAGCCTACAAACTTGGGCATCACACAGTTCCTGCTCCCAGAGAACTCAATATTCAGTGCAGACAATAGCTGGAGGGAATGTTCCTAAATGCCCTGACATATGCAGGGAATGCCAGTGTGAGTCAGGAATAAGGAAAGCAATCTTTAGGATATGAATGAAGGAAAATAAAAAGGAATAGGAAATCTCTGAACAGGGCCTCAAATTTTGTTGGCAATTTGAATGAGGGTAAAATGAATAAGGTTCCTTTTTCATTTTTCCCGACTCTTTGACTCGATGGCAGTGTGTTCCAGCATGGGGCACGTTTTGAAATTAATAAATGTTTGGCAATTGAGAGAAAGGATGAAAGAGAGATTAATCATTTTCATTTTGGTGTACATTTGGATCAATATATCTCTTCACTTTGAAAAAAAATTGCACTTTAATCTTTTATCTCATTATT